ATCTCACAATTTTTTCTTACAACACCGCTCTACCTTAACAAACTTTTGAAATAAGTCAAATTGAATTCATTAGACAAAGCAGCTTCAATTATGTCAATTTCATTTTTATTGTACACCCAACATAATTAAATTCACGACAGCTGCAAATTTTCTCTTAATTTAAAACCTTTCACTATAAACTTAAATAAATAATTAAAGAATTTCATATTTTTATTTTTAATCTTAAGAAATATCCTCATTTTTAATACATGTTAAGGTTTTTTATTTCACAGATGAAACTTGAGATATGAATTTTTTGTACAAAATTTGATGTATTTGAAACTGCGATTTCTCTTAAAAAAATTTTTTATATTTTTAGTAATATACCTGGCTGAGGAACTCACAGCGCGATATTTCGACATTTATCAACATTCCAAAAAATCTCATCGACTATTTTTCACATAAATTTAAACTCACAGGCGTGTAACAAAGAAATAAAATATGCACAATAGAAAGCAAGAAACGAATTATATGTTAAGAAGAAATAAAAACAAACAAAAAGGAAACCGAGGATAAGAAATAGACATGAATAAAGAAAGAAAGGAACACAAGAACGTATAGAAAGTAAATTTAGTATTTATGGAAAGTATGAACCTAATAATGTAATACAAAATTAGAAAATTATCGATGGACATCAGTGCCTCATAATTGTAACCAAAATTAAAACTTTTATAAAAATTATGTTCAAAAATATACCATGAATAATATACCATGAATTTTGGCGAGGGCGATATGCCTTGTTTTATACTTCATTTAATTTACGCGTCGATGTTTTATTAGTACAGTGTAACTGTGATGGAGTTTTGCTTTGTTTAAAAATGACACAAGGGAATACAACATAGTGCAAAACGAGCAACGGCTGTGGACCTAAAGCAGTTTTAAATTGCACAAAATCACGGTATTTACATAAAGTTTTTACAGTGTTAATCTCAGCATTTAAGGTGAAAAGTTTAAATTGTTAGAAAAATGGGCGAAAGATTTTTCGTTTCAGCAAGAATCCAACCCTCATCTTCCGGAATTGTGCCCAGATGCTTTATATCACTGAGCTAAACGGCTGATTGTCACGCCGACTAAAATCTCAACGTATTTTAAGTATTTGTTTTTTCGCATTTTAACCAGTTTACTTTTAATCCAATTTTCTCAAGTTCCAAATCTCATCAAGTGAGAGAAGAATAAGATGAAACATTAAAATTTGTTAAAATGTTTTAATCAAGCATAATTATTGGCACTACGATAGTGTTAAAATAATATAAAATCTGTGTTTCCAAACAAAGCCAAGTAGAGAAAGCTTGGCTAATTAACCCCTTGCTATTTCAGAACATACTTACCAGGTTATTTTCTTTGCCCTTCGTCACCGTTTCCAAAGCGACCCAGCTTCTACTGAAGAGTCTAGCACCAAGCGGCCCACTTAGCGTAGGAACAAGTGCAACAAATTTGTAGGTTGAGTAATTTTTGCATCTATTATAAAATAACAGAACATTATATTCACATTCCTTGAAACCTAGCAAAACAAGAACGTGGAGGATAATATAAACAACTGTATTAAAAAACCGACAAATTAACGAAATTTGGATGCAATAAAGATTGTATTACATGTTACATATCTTGAGCTTTCTTAAAGTTAGGCATATTTGTTTGATAATAAATGACTATAATCTTGTAACAGAATTTGAAACGATAACGTGATTACCAAAAGGATAATGCAAATGGGCCAGCCAACCCCGGTTGAGGTCCGTATTGTAGGTTGCAAAAAAGCAAAATATGAAATTATTTATTAATACAGTATTAGTAACAGAATATAGATTAAAAAAATATTATATAAATACATGTAATGTTATATCACTTAAATGAAAACTGTAGATTATTTTTACTTTGACCTTAATACGAAGATTCATAATCTGACTTCTGTGTTCTAAAGTTTTAAATAAAAAAAATAGATACAGATACCTTTATGGACTAAGTAAAAAATATATTTTTTAATAAGTGATTATATCGTTATAATCTTGGTTACTGTTCATAAAAGTATCGAAAGAATGTGAAAAATTATGCATCACTCGTAATAATTACTCTTCTCGGAACTAATTACAAGTGCCAAAGAAGGCACGTGCACGTATTGTAGGTTGCAAAAAAGCAAAATATGAAATTATTTATTAATACCTTTATAAATTCATTATTCATAAGTAAAAACAATTTCCATGGTCAAATAAACGAGTGGTTACTTCGAAGTATCGAGCTTGGATAATCACATAATATCGGACGTAGTTAAGTAAGACTATTATTCAACTTATCCTTGATTAACTCGTATCTGGCTCCTAATGATATGATTGATATCCAACCAAGAGGAAAGTTCAATCATGCGCAATTTCTTTGTGTATGATATTCTTTTGTGGGCCGTGCGTATGTACCATTCCGTGTAGTATATTTCATACTATTACGATTGCTGTCAACGTTATTTTTTTTATATTGTGATGATTTGAAACTGTAAAGGTTATATATGTTCGTATATATATTCTTTGCAGCCCAGTCACTTCTTATTGTATATATATCAACCGGTCTGATTCACCATTTAAGATGGATGTTATACTTACGACACCCTTAAAACTCCCATGGAAACAACATCGATAAAGCGAAATTCCTCTCCCTAAAGAGGTAGATCATCTGCCGCACTATCATCCTTTGTACTATGGATAGCCGTGGACCGCCACACGACCCCACCCTGAAATGGTGGCCTTCCTATATCTTTGAAACATTTTTGTAAAGTTATTAAAATTGCTATTAATAGATTTCTCGAGTATATTGAACATCTCGGTCCATATGATAAAGTTTAATCGTGAACGCTTAGAGCACAAGACTATTGCTAAATTAAAAAAAATGTAAAGGAGCGTTTGTTTGTTAAAGGCTATTATAGTATTAGTAATTATTTAAATGATAACAGACTAATTGATCGTATCTTAGTGGAATCTAATACACTGCACACACGTTTTTTGTATTTTTTTAAATAAAATAATGTTTAAAAAAATGTCCCGCTGAGTTTTTTTCGCCGGTTCCTCTCAGGTTAGTGACAATCAATGATTATAAGTGTAATGCTTCTATATTGAAAAAAGATATTTGAATTTAAATTTAAAAGCCATGGTATTTTACTAGTCGAAATCAGAGGCGGCAGAAATTGTGCTGTGGTTGTTGACTTATTGAAAACCTTGCCTTTTGGCATATTGAAAAGCCATTTGACAGCTTTCGATTTTTTAGATTAGTTAACTTCTACGATGTGTTTCAGAAACGGGGCGGCAATGTCATATTTAACTATTTTGTTTGAACCGGCAAGGAGATTTGTTGTTTTATTACCTACCTTAGTTCAAACAAAATTTAGAATCAGTTGAGTGGTTTCAGAAATTGCTCATGACATCAAATAATTGAATAAAGTTTACCTGTTTTATAGTAAATAGAAATTGAGATCTAGACTTGTAAGATTTCTGCTGCTGCCAATAAAATAATGTTTCAAATTCGTGATTAAATAGATGTAGAAGGTCTTTTAAAATTAATGGGATAAAAAGAAAATCGGATTGATTCAGTTTTCTCATTTCACCATAATTGTCCAATTAAACAATACTATTTTATTCAAAGCGCTATATTTTCTCAGTAAACTTTTCGAAAAAAATTGACTTAACAAAATTTTCTTTACGATAGATTAGTGAATTGATTGAAAAAACTCTTATAAAATTTTCTTTACGGTAGGCTACTTAATTGATTGGAAAAACTTTTTGATCATTACACAAAGAACTCTCGAACACAGGTTTGTACTCCGTTTTTGTAACATGTTTATGTCTTACACAATACCAACTCTCGCATGATTAATATTTGACTTGTCTCGTCCTGACCCTATCTGGACTATCTCTCTTTGTTCCCTCAGCTTATCTAAGCTCAAATGGTACAAAGTTAGGCTGCTAGCTGCTCTTAGGTTGAAGAAATGTTTTAAAATTAATATTTCATTATTCCGATTAACTTTAAAATTCCGTTGTTGATACTAAAAATATATTGACGTTCATGTTCCGTTTGAAATAAAGTTCATGTAAAATCATATAATTGGGCTGAATCATCATTGCCGCTATCTATTTAACTATTGCCATTGATTGAAGAATGCATTAAGATGTGGATAGTATGCCTCAGTAACAGAATATAGATTAAAAAAATATTATATAAATACATGCAATGTTATATCACTTAAATGAAAACTGTAGATTATTTTTACTTTGACCTTAATACGAAGATTCATAATCTGACTTCTGTGTTCTAAAGTTTTAAATAAAAAAAAAATAGATACAGATACCTTTATGGACTAAGTAAAAAATATATTTTTTAATAAGTGATTATATCGTTATAATCTTGGTTACTGTTCATAAAAGTATCGAAAGAATGTGAAAAATTATGCATCACTCGTAATAATTACTCTTCTCGGAACTAATTACAAGTGCCAAAGAAGGCACGTGCAGGTAATGGGGTGTTGCCTTCATTAATTTTCTAGCAACGCTCTCACAACTTTCTCGATAACGGCACACTAAATTAGGGGTATAATAATGTAATTTATTAGGAAAATAACAAAACAAAAAATGCTAACATAAACTTTTCATGGTTTCTTTGGTTGTTGCATGAATGGGCAGGCTCGTCCGGGTAAGTACCACGACCTCACAGAAGACCGGCGTAAAGTGGAAGTAATACTTTCCCGTTTCGTCTGGTGAGTGAGGTGGCCGGAGCCCAATTTTCAAAAGGTTGTCAACGTATCTGGTACCCTCGGGTGTAGCAGATTTCCATGGGCAGCGGTTTTCACTTAACATCAGGTGAACCATCTGCTCGCTTGACAACTTTTCACATAAAAAAAACTTATTCATTTGAAATATTTTTAATACTTTGGTATCAAAATTATGAATTAAAAATATATATATCATATACTCCTTTTTTGTTCACAGAGAGTTAACCCCAGTATGAACCTGACTCTAAATGCATCAGCAAAATGGTTAATAGAGGCATCTCAAGGTATCGAAAATCCAAACAACCTGCTAGAAAAGTTCTCTTTGAACAGAAAAGTCGATGATCAAACCAGTGCGCTTCTCCTTACATTTTATGGCATACTGGTAATTATAGGCGCTGTTGGGAATGCTCTTGTTGTTATATCTGTAAGTATTTTTTTATTATTTTATTGACTTTGCAAAAAACGTCAAAATCGAAATAACCGAGTGGGAACAAAGTGAACTAATTTATTTTGTAGACATGAGAAGATAACTTTGACAACAACAATTACATTTTTTTTTCTTTCTTGTATTAGAGTTTTTGTACTTTTCTAAGTAATTTCAATGGTATATATAGAAGTTTCATATAAGTTTTCATTTTATTTGGTTCTTAGTGAGATCTAATTATAATACAAGTTAAAAATAGACTTAAGAAATAATACTGGTTCTTTTTCAGGTTGTAAGAAAGCCGGTTATGCGGACAGCAAGGAATATGTTTATTGTGAACTTAGCTGTATCCGATGCTTTAGTATGCTGCGTTGGTACTCCTCTCACAATGATGGAACTTCTGACCAAGCATTGGCCCTTACCAGATTGGCCCAGTTTGTGCAAAGCTTGTGGCGCTATCCAGGCCATATCGATTTTCGTTTCCACAATTTCAATTACCGCCATTGCCCTGGATAGGTATCAGGTATATTTTGAAAATTATTCTTTCTTTAATTTTAAAACGATAATAGTTATTAATTTCCAGTTTCCTTTCTTGAAACTTTTATAGACTTTAATTAGTGACATTTATAAAACTTACAGGCCCGGTAGTATAGATAGATTATATGAATATTTGTGCCACGCAAAAATTGGCATCACGTCTCTTTTTATATTTTTTATAATTAAAATAATGATTTCGAAAAGCTTGTAATTAATAACTATTATTCATTAATCTTATTCATAATAAATATGTTCTTTTTGTTCTATCTCTCTCTTCCGGCCAGGCCTTGACAGTTCAATATATGCTCTGTATAAATATTTAAATAAAAATTGTTTAAATTGCAATGAACGTGCTAAATTGTGAATCGGTGACTTTGGATAATCCATCCCGTAACTCCCCTAAAACAATTAGTTCAATCATTAACAATACCATTTATAAAAAAAAATGAAGTGTGAATAATTATGTAGTAGCCGTGTATTTTCCCGGTCCGAAGCATAAGATTTAAATAATAAATAATCCACTCAACTGTACCATGTGCAAATCAGGGTTTAGTTAGATTAGGATTTTTGTATTATTTTATTAATTAATTTACTTCATAGATTAATGTCAAGTGAGTAAAGTAGTCTATAAATGCGTTTCCATTGTCAGTTTGTAGGTCGCACTCTTACAATTTTTCCAGTCTATGAATTATTAATGGTTACTTTCTGTAAAATGTGAATAGCTTCATGTTAGTATAACTAGATATCAACATCTCACTATCGATATTGACAAACAATAGAACACATGCTACATATTAAATTCGGACGAATGACTCAAACTCTACATAACCCATAGTAAAGTTAGCTTTGAATCAGATTTTATTAGTACATATGGTTGTATGAAGCAACTTCGCAGATATCGCTCATTATTTAAAATTATCTAAACATATACGCTAAAGTGTTTACATCTTACTCAGTACTTCTGGAAATAGGGTTAGGTCTGTTGATTTTATTCTGACGTCATGTCATTAAATCTAGAAAATAATTGTATTCCTGAAAGGGTTACATTGAAAATATTACATTATGAATGAAATTCCTTTTCTTTACTATCTTCTTTGTAAACGAAAATTTGAATTATATTTATTTTAGATTTTCGATACATTTTATTTCTGATAGCATTGAACTCTATGCAAATCTTTGCCATCTGGATTTGGACCGTGAATCATTCTCAGTTGGAACAGACAGTTTGCAAGATGAGAGGATTTGCTATAATCGCCTCACTTGGAAAATTGACGATCGCACTAAGGCGTCCAGCAAATGAAATAGATAGTTCTCTAATTCGATAAAAAATTATAATTAATAGTTTATCGCTTAATTCTAAGTTCAAAATTATGTTTATGATTATAACCGCACATGGTAATTTTTTTGTGATCCAGAAATACTTGTTTTGAGCCTAAGTGTACTTTATGTTTAAAAAATCCTTCTCAACACAGGGGTTGAACTCGAATGCGGGAGTTGTTTTTCAAAATAAAATACAAAAAATTATTCCAGTACATTAGGCACGTTGATAAAAAACTGTCAAAAAAATAAATAAAAGTCTACAAACCATATGGGCAAGATTAACGTAAATGTTTTACGAGACAATATTTGAATTGGAAAAAGTATTCCAGTTTATTTACCTTTAAGCTAGCTTCGTTCTCAATAGAAGCATTCCATTCTGCATAAATCTTACTTTGCCAAAGTACAATATGTGACGCACTCTAGCCCTCATTTATCTTCTACTTTAGCAATATTTCCAATATCATTTTTATAAGTTTATTGGATGTATTACACATATTTGTTTATTACATCCCATACGCAATAACAAGCCCCGTCCGCTTCTTTGGTATTTTATTGTTGTGATTTTTTTCTATATAAATTATTTGACCTCGTTATTCTTAATATCTTCTGCAAATTTTCTGAAGATGTTTATCATGCATTATAGAACTTACAATTATTTTTCCAACCACTCTGCGTTCAATAATTAAGTTTATAAGCAATCAGTTTTAAAGGTTCATACATGAAGTTGCTATATCCTATAACCTGCAATAATTAATCCATTTTCAAATTCAAATTCAAATATTTATTTGCCATAAATAGGGTTACAAAGATGTTTAAGTACATGTCTGTCGCTTTAACCTATTTAGCTGTTTAACCGCATGCAAATTTAGCTTTAGCAATTGAATTGCCATGCAGTCATTAAATAAAAAAAATTATTAATAAAAAAGAAGTTTTTACAGCTTAAAACAAGGGTCTAATCAAGGTTTTATTTGAACATTACATCGATTTGTAACGAATTTCACTTCAGTAACTAACAAAACGAAAACCATTTAGCTACATATGTACATTTCGAAGTTATGTTATTACCGAAGTTATAGAATTGCTGACTGGCAAAACAAGGAAAATGTATTAGTTTGAAACTTAATGTTTTTATGCTCACAGTTAATGTATTGATTTAAATACTAGCTGTGCCCGCGACATGGTCCGCGTGGAATTTGAAATAAAAAAATCTAAAATAAAAGTAGCCTAAGTTACTCCTTATTACTTCAACTATCCGACAGTGAAAGTCCCGTCCAAATCGGTCCAGCCGTTTCAGAGATTAGCCGGAACTAAGAGACAGACAGACAGACAAAAATTGTAAAAAATGTTATTTTGGTATATGTACCGTGTATACATCCATATGCATTTAGTAAAAAGCGGTTATTTTAATATTACAAACAGACAATCCAGTTTTATTTATCTGTATAGATGTATAGATGTTTAGTAAAGGGAACAAAAAACATACTAAATTTATAAATTATCACTTTTTGAGCATACGTAAAAAATGATGCTGAAGATGCATCGAGATAATAATTAGATTAAAATTTCTATTGTACCACACGTTATTGATTTTATACGAACTCCATTGTTTATCAGTTTATCTCTCGAGGGTGTAGAGTAATGAACTAAATGCTCCAGCACTTGATAATGATAGATAGGAATACTCAATGCCTGTCACACGATGGATGCAAAATATTAAAAACTAAATTAAGGAAAAATAAAAGCAGCTAACGCGACTTAGTTTTGTTGCTACATTTTTATGTGAAAAAGTGGCAAACACGCTGGCGGTTTTCCTGATGGTATGTGATAACCGCCGCCTGTTGACATTTGCAACACCCGTAGGGTTGCAGATGTGTTATCAGTGCAGTTGTGCAGGTGTTAATAAAGTGCTAACTCACCCACCAGAGGAAACGCAGAAATATCACTTCCACTTTAGGCCGGTCTTTTGTAGGGTTGTGGTCCCGGACGGATCTGCCCATTCGTGCAACAGCGAATCAATGCTAGTTTCATTTGTGGATAATTATTATGACATCAATGTAGATCATCATCATTCTATCGTCCTTATCCCCACTTGGAGGGGTTAGCACAACATTTGTATAATGTTGTTAGTCATATTAACTAGGTTTTTATTATGACCGAATAACAAGCAGCCAGATCTCGAACAATTATATGAGAGTCAACTAAATATTTGTCCCGAAAAGATAAGATTCAGACAAGATCAGATAAAATTTAGACAAATAACATGAAAGTTAAAATGTTTCATATTGTCCGCAGTTAATCGTGTACCCAACGCGGCCTGGATTGCAGACAATGGGCGCACTTGTTACGATGTTCTTCATCTGGGTCACGGCATTTTGCCTCGCCTCGCCTCTCTACATCTTCCGGAGTCTCAAAACTCATAACATAGGACTGAAGGATATGGATTCTCTGAGTTTCTGCATCGAAGACTGGCCCATGGCCAATGGGCGGGGGATATACTCTCTGTTTAGTCTTATATTACAGTATCTGCTTCCAGTCTTGGTCGTTGTTATGGCGCACGTTCAAATCCATAGGAGGTTGCGCGGTCGGCGGCGGACGACTAGAAAGACGCCGGCAATTCTCATAGCCATCGCCGTCACCTACGTCATCAGCTGGCTGCCCCTAAACGTTTTCAACTTGGCGGCAGACTTCAGCACGGAGCCAATTCTTGAGGAGAAATCCATGACGATAACTTACGCGGTCTGCCACATGTTCGGAATGTCCAGCGCCGTCTCGAATCCCCTGCTCTACGGCTGGCTGAACGATAACTTCCGCAAGGAGTTCGAGGAGATATTGTGCTGCTGCAAGAAGCGACAGATCACAAAAGATACCCGCATCATAAATCGGAAGATGGACACCGAGCTGACGGCATTAGCTCAAATTGAGCACACGGTCACTGCCAACACGAAGACCTCCCAGTGCTCTCAAATTTTCTGACTAAAGACTTGCTTCAAATAGCAAGAAACAGTCGTTGAAATGCAAAACGTTTGAACAATTTTTTTACGTCAATTGAACGTGTTAAGTTTTGTACAGTGAACGAGTGTATGATGTTCCTTCGTTGTTTCTATAAGTAATTGAAATCTTTAGTGTTATTAATATTACGAACAATTAATGAAATTAGTTGTATTGTCTGTTTCATTGTAAATATAGCATAGTTTTAGTTGTAGTAACAATATCGCATCTTACGTTTTTATGAGCCCAAAACGTAATGTGCGCATATTAATAATAATACCCAATGAATACTTAGATGTTAAATTTTCTTTTAATAAAGCTATTTAAAAATTAATCTGTAAGATTACTTGACCTTAATTTTGTCGGTAAATAAGAAGCTATTGAGATAAACATCGAAAAAGAACAATTGCTTCAAGATTTAGGTGAGCGACTGTCAATTGTATTTTCTACATTAAAGTGTGACGCCAGCTCACATTTTCCTTGAAGACTTACGAAAATGCTGCCAGCTAATCTCGGCGCTCATTTCGTTATACTCGGCTTTTTAGGCCTTCATTTTAAAAGTGGCCTCCTTATGAACTATATATTTGCAAAGTAAGCCCATAGAGAGGAAGTGTTTTCGAGATAAATAAAGAATCATTTGTATGGACATAACACACCATTCTTTTAAGTTTTATTTTTTTTATATGGAACTGACTGCCATCCCACCTGATATTAAGTGGTGATGCAGCCGTTGATTGTTAGCGCGCTAGCTCAGTAAAAGCCTATTCACTCTTGACTCGAAGACGTCTATAACTGGACGGAAAGACCGACACCGGAAGGTTGTTCCATTCCTTAGCTGCACGGGTTTACTTTTAAGTAAAGTAAAGTATAGTTAATTAACGCCGTAGTAAAAAAAAGCCTTTATATTTCCCACTGCTGGACAAAGGCCTCTTATCTACAGAGAATTTTAGAGCATAGTTCACCACGCGACCCCACAGCGGGCTGGCGGAGTTCACCTTATTTTTTTTTTCGCTTTTATTTCAAATTTATGCAGATTTCCTCCCGTTGTTTCCCTTTTGTTCATTATTATTCGAATATAATATGCTGGTTTCCTTACAATCTTTTTTACAATCCTCAAGGGTGAAAAAAAAAAGATTGTGAAAGAAAACACGCGATAACTAAGCACTTATAATTAACAATTTCTTTCTTGCCGGCACTGGGGATCGAACTCAGGTTACTCCAGTATATTGAATTAAAAGCGAGCGACCGGACACTGAGCCATTATAATAATGCACATTTTAATTGAAATACAGTTCATGACATAGTTTGACACCAAAAAAGTAAGTACTAAATAAATTAACAAGCGCAATTCTCAGGGAGGCCTTGCATTTGTTCTTAATATAACTCGGTTAATGGAATCCCATTTCAATTAAATATTTCAATCGACTACGTGATTTTTTTTAATTTAGCATTTGTTTTGACGTGTATAAATGAGTTGTTCTGATTATATTTCTCAAGTACAATTATCACTGTGCCTTTTTTTAATTTTTAAAACTCATTTAATTGAATTTTTGCGGTCTTAAAACGCTACATTAAATATTAAAACTGACTGCTATACATACAAATATTAAATATGATGCAGATGACCCCGTGGCGCAGTTACCAAGGTATTGACTTCGGCGTCGGGGGTCGTGGGTTCGATTCCCACACGGGACAACTATTTGTGCGACCCACAGATAGTTGTTTCGCTTCTGGGTGTTCCATGCATCCTTACAACACAGGATAATGTTATCCTAAAGTGAGGCCCATGTTTTAAAAAAAATATAAAAAAATGAAATAATAAACGGATATTATATTAAACAAAGATTGCATTAAGAACTCGTACCCAGTTTACATACCCACAAATATAAGAATAATTCGCGCTGAATTAATTGTTCCTAATCTGTCAATATACAAATATTGACAGATTAGGACAATTAATTTTGACAATTAACAATTGAATTTGACAACAAATTAAACACAACGTTGTTTTTTTATATATCGATCTGTTGTTAAACTTAACTTAAGGAAATAGTAAAGCAATATAGTACTAAAATAAGTTTATACCATTTTAAAGAATGTTATTCTTTAAAGTGCTGTTCTCTGCGCTTAAGATTTCTATAAATTCTCCAACGTTCCAACTCTTCTACAAATTTTGAAATTTTAGCCCATATTTTATTCGTGATTAATGATTTTAAACAACACATAAAAACTATGAGAATTTTAAAAGTTAAAGAGCACAGTAAGCTATTCTAGCTTCTATTTTCAAATTGGTTTAAAGTCATAACAGTTTCAATCTCTAAGCAATTAGATGACAGAAAAACTGCGATGTGCCTTTTATTCGTAACTAACGTGCCCATTTTAGAATTTTTTAGGAAAATTTCTAATATCCATATTATGTTTAAGTCATAGTTAGATCTATAAACATGTATTCCCAATTTAATCTCGTCCGCCAGAACATCTAAGTATTTAGATCACAAACCATCTATCTATACGATCTACCCAAATTTATACGAATACAAAAGAAAATTATTTGGCAGATATCTATTTCTTAGTGAATTTTTGAAACCGAGTGAGCTTTTAACAAAATGACATAAAACTTCCTAGAGTAGGACACCAACAACATTTTTCTGGATTCCATCCAACGCGTGTGCCAAAACTTAACAAATTATATCAAGTTCGATTTCGTAACAAATCATTGTTTTCTTCAAAGGTTTTATAAAAACTTTTATTTTTAAGGAAATTGAATTGTTTATCTCCAAAGTTATATGAATGTTTGTATACCTTTCTTACAGCTGTCTGTAGTGCGACCGTCCTTGATCACGAAGTTACTACAAAATATTGGTGTCACAATTAATACCAATAAACTTCCATGTCACAAAAGTTAAAGAGCCCTGAAAAATAGCGAATATAAACACTGACTTCAATCTGCCTCAGACTAGATAATGTCCTTACTAATATTATAAACGCAAAAGTTTGTATGTATGGATGGATGTTTATAACGCTTTCACGCAAATACTACTGAATGATTTTAATGATTTTAATGAAACTTTACAATAATATAGCTTATGCATCAGAAAAAGACATAGGCTATAACTTATATAAATGTTTTATGTATATCTGTCTTTCTGTGTGAATGTTACGCCTTCAGCACTTCTACGCAGACGTAGTCGCGGGCAGTTATGCTTATAAAAACAAGTAAAGCAACCGCCTATAAGTGTCCCACTGCAGGGTAAAGGCCGCCTATGTTCAGAGCGTATTAGGGCTCATTCCACCTAGCTCATTCCGCGACCGCAATGCGTATTGGCGGACTTCACATATGTCACGCCACGCTGAGCCAAGCTAAACCAAGCCATGCTATGCCAAGCAATGGCACGCCATTACAGTAAAGTGCCGGAAACATTGACCTAGCGCCACTGTTGACGTCACAATTGTCAGGAAAATGTTTAAATACCCCGAATTGTCAATCGGGGCACTCTTACGATCGTGTTCTACAAATTAAATAGTGATTGTTTTCAATAAATAGTTTTAATATTAACATCCGTTTGACTCTTAAGGCGGATAAGCACTTTGGTCTGATTGGCACACGCTAATCTTAGAAACTATTGGTCCGATTTGAACAATTCTTTCGGTTTAAAATTTATAGAGGGAGGCTATAGGCTATTTCATCACGCTATATAATAAACAGCGGAGCACCGATGAAGAATTTTTCGAAATCGCGTTTTCTCTTTTGAGAGCTTCCACTATATGCGCTGCGTGATCAGTACAAGTTTCTCAAAAATCATGGATGACAGAATTGTTTCCCTTTAAATGTTCTACGACAGCACAGTTTGCTCACTATAACTTTTTTTATGCTAACCAAATTTGTTCTAAAACATTGCATTATTTACGAAGATGTTTTACACACATTATATAAATGTTTATCTTAATAAATGGGTTTTTCATCATAAGTATTTCATTTAAAACATAATTGTCCTTTACATCATTCGATTATCTGGATTTGGTAAAAATCAATATCTACTTCTGCCGGAAGAAAACGAAACTGAAAATATAGTGTACGCAAAAGTAATTTAAAATAACATTAGTTTTGAGTTTTTTGAGAACAACCTACAATCTACATGATATAAGATTATAAGAGCCAGTACTTTTACCTAACGTTTTAAAGTTCCTCTCTTATTGATAAAAGCGTGATGTAGGTACCTAAAATAGCTCCTTAACGTATGTATTATGTAAAAATATTTTCACTTACTACGTAAACGACGTCGCGGGTTAAAGTTAGCGTCAGCCCAAAATAACTATTCCACGCGGGCGATGTCTAGTTGAATAAATATAAATAAGCGCCCAGACACTGGGTTATCAATGATTACTCATACGAGAACAATTTTGTTTCTTTTTGTCTTTGTTTACGAAATTTTAAGAATGCGGAATAGAGCATATTCTTTCCTAAAAGACCGGCAACGCATTTGTAAGCCCTCTATTGCAGGTGTTCATGTGCAGCGGTGATCACTTTAAAAAAATTATAACATAAATATGTGTTTACATATAACATCTTAACCATGAAATTAATGAACGTACTCTTATATTGTAGTCATTTTAATATGTTAGATAATCACAGAATCCCATGGGAAATACCAAATTTATTTTTTGCCTTATATTTAAAATATTGTGCCCTTACTTTGGGATTACACTATCATGTGTTATATGGACGTTTTAAAAACATAAACTTCACGCGGATAAACACCCAGATGCGAAACAACTATATCTGTGGGTGACACAAAATAATAGTTGTCCCGTGTAGGAATCGAACCCACTACCCTCGACGTCGAAGCCAATAAATAAATAAATATTTTAGGACACATTTCCACATAACATTCTCTAGTCCCAAACTAAGCAAAGCTTGTACTATGGGTACTAGAAAACTGATAAACATACTTTTCTTTTGTAACCCCAGGCACTAGAAAAAC